TTTTTCTATTGTGGGCTATTCGCAAGATGACTTGACATCTACTGAGAGACTTATTCAGCTCTTTAACTCGTGGATGTTGAAGCACAACAAGAATTACAAGAATGTTGATGAGAAACTTTACAGATTTGAAATTTTTAAGGATAATCTTAAATATATTGACGAGAGAAACAAGATGATTAACGGCTATTGGCTCGGATTAAACGAGTTTTCTGATTTGAGCAATGATGAATTCAAGAAAAAGTATGTTGGTTCCCTTCCTGAAGATTATACAAACCAACCTTATGATGAAGAGTTTGTTAATGAAGATGTTGTCGATTTGCCCGAGAGTGTTGATTGGAGAGCAAAAGGAGCTGTCACTCCTGTTAAACATCAAGGCTATTGCGGTAAGACTTTGTTATCTTAATAAGATATTCTCCAGTAATATATTAATTAACATATGTTATGTACATTACATCGATTAACTACTTTTTATTTGATTAATGGTGGTTATTTTGTATTGTAAAATAATGTAGAAAGTTGTTGGGCATTCTCAACTGTTGCAACTGTGGAGGGAATAAATAAGATTAAAACTGGAAATTTAGTAGAATTATCGGAGCAAGAACTTGTTGACTGTGACAAACAGAGCTATGGGTGCAATCGAGGTTATCAATCGACTTCGCTTCAGTACGTGGCTCAAAATGGTATTCACTTGAGAGCAAAGTACCCATATATTGCAAAGCAACAAACTTGTCGCGCCAACCAAGTGGTACAACTATGCTTTTATTTATATGTGTGTGTGAGCTCATGATTATATATGATTGTGTTTGAATATCATCAACGTTACATCTTCAGTATTAGATAATTAAACATATAATAGTAATAAGCAATTAATATTTACTTTTTAATTAGTACATGAAGTTGTTTTCTTAGTTTAAAATTTGATTGATGCAAAAAAATGTTTTGTTTAAATGCAGGGAGGTCCGAAAGTGAAAACTAATGGGGTTGGACGTGTGCAATCAAATAATGAAGGGTCTCTCTTAAATGCAATTGCGCATCAACCTGTGAGCGTGGTGGTTGAATCCGCTGGAAGAGATTTCCAAATTATAAAGGGGTAATTAAATAATTATTTACTGAGTAGAGATTATATAAATAGTAAAACAAAGATTGATTAATTCAATTTTGTGTGTTGTGTGTGATAGGGAATATTTGAGGGATCATGCGGAACCAAGGTAGATCATGCTGTAACAGCAGTTGGA